TGCAGTTATGGGCGAAGGTGATGTAAGAAAAGAATGGAGAGAAGGCTCTTTGTGGTATTGTCACATTAGTCCACGACGAACGAGAGACTGAGTGTTCGTGGGCGGTGGTCGTGGAAACAATGTTCAAACGCGGATTTTACTCCGAAATCCATTCCCATTTGGCATTCGTTTATGATATACATTATTGCTTGATGCATCGAACACTTTATTTAAAATTTAATTTGATTTGACTCAATTTTGGAGTTACCTTCGGTCTGAATAAATGAAAAGTATGTAAAATATAGGAGCACAACGTTAAAAGTAAAGTCAAATCTATGATATATGTTATGAGAATGCATGAAATTAAAATTACTGGTAACTATGATTCGACAGAGCAAATTATCAAGTGGGGAAGTATTTATTTATTTTAGTATTTATTAAAAAATTATATTGATAGGTACATGACATTAAGTGATACAAAAATACCAGATAAATATAATAACCTGAACAAATTTTTTTCCGGTTCCTTTGTTAACGCCAAATTAATGTCGAACCGCTTTCTCAATTCGTACGACAGCTTGCGCAGAATTATTCCAGAGTGTTATATCTCGAGTACAAAATAATTTACATTATATCGTAGCATGAAGCTCTTTATAATAGTCGAAAAATGCATAAAGTATTTTGCCTAACCACGCAACCCCTTATCGTGCAGAGTCTAACAACCCCAAATAAGAAACACGATCCACCAAACTGTCTCGTATGCAGTTCTCACTTCACAGAGCGTGCTAGAATTTTGGGATGACATTAACGGCGGCATGATTCAAAATGTTGTAAACGTGAGGAACTCTGGTTCCACCTGTTGTCGAGATATCAACCAAAATCGAGGCGATAAGGCCGTCTGATTAATACATAACCGGTTGGTGGTGTTTTATTTATCTAACAGCATTCTACGATGTTCGATATAAAACAGAGTGTCTTAAGTTACATATAAGAATACTACCTTGTCTAGAACATAATTATAATGTAAGCTCTCGCTTTTTTTAGAATTTTTTTGTCATTGACACATCAATTGTTACATATTCTAATTGAAATAAGTAACGAAGGATTTTCAAGGATTTTCCTTCGATCAGCTTATATTTAATTTTTGAATTGAAGAAAATTCTCATGATACGTCAATTTGTAAATTAAAATTAGAAGTTATATCCAACGGATAATGCGATTTCACATAGAAATGGTTTTACACGAATACCAGGAAACGAATGTCATATCAGCTATAAACGTCGGTGAAATTAAGTGGGATCGATAGAAAGAAAATCAAATTAAACACAATGCGCGGTTATACAGTGACACACCAATTTAATAAGCACATGTCGCGTAATTTCAATTTACCGAGCGATATCCGAACGAATTTACATGCGTTTTTCGCGTAGATAGAACGTACTCATATAACTGAATGTCTTCCGCTGGGTTTAGAAACAATAAATAACGTATGTGAGCGCGATAGTGCTATACACCGTTTCTTCGACACTCGTGGTGACCAGTTCGCGAGCGACTTTTATATTCACCGATCGTGTACACGTGCGCACGTGACTGCCCGATAACAGCAATCGCGAGAACCACATATTTAACGCATATACAGACACTTTCTTTATCTATGGAACACACTTCGGAGATAGATTCAGCATTCAATCTTCCCATGGCGAACCTGGACAATTTCTGACACGAGACTCGAAGTGTAATTGGCAAATCTGATTTAAAACGTGCTCCGAAATGCAAAATTCAAAGGTGTATCAGGAATAATCCTGATTCTGTGTCCAAGAATAACAAATAATATAGTTTTATAAATCTATGACCTTTCTGGATATAGTTTTATAAATCTAGATCTAATTGAAAAGCTCAAGATGGGTCATTTGGAACACTCAATAGACAGACAGACATAAATTCGAGTTAAAGTCAAAGGTAGAAAATTTGGTTAATGAAATTTGATGTTGACTAAAGTTTATTGCTGGCGAATTAGGCTCTCATGGTTAGAAGCGGGTAGACTCGATGGATTTCAACACGAATCCAAGTTCATTAACCCAGACTTAACGCACTCAAATCTAAACTAGACTCGTTAATCCAATTAGTCTTCGTGGAACAAGACTGGACAGACGACTTCCGACGTCAAACTCCAAAGTTAGGTTCAACCCGGCTCAGACCTAACACGCCTAACGCATCTGATCCAGATCTAACAATAAGGTAAACCTAATTCAAACCTGATTAATTAATCTCCCAATGACGGAAGCAAATAGACGGTTACAGGCATCGAGGTCGAAAGCGTATGTTTCGTAACTCAAACTCGATCCACGCCTAACTCAAATCTGGATCGAACCTAATGGAGGTTGAATTGCAACAAATCGCGTGGAACAGATTTCCCAAAAAGCTTTGTGAAAATTGATTCGATCGATTTACTAATATTCTGAGCACAAATGTAATTAATTGCTAAGAAAAATATTTTAATTGCGTGTACAACTTAGGCTTCACTAATCACTGTTGTAAGTTTCGCCTCCGTCAGTACTTTCTTTTGAGGGAATAGAGTTTATTTCTCCTCCTTCGCTAGTCATTCCTTAATGCCGATTAAAAGATACCCTTGCTTCTTTGAGGAGTAGCATGACCTCCGAGAAAAAGCTATTTTTCATACTGCGCGAAGGTAGGCATGAACTTGTGATAGGATCTTGCGAAATAAGGAGCATGCGAAGAAGGTCTTCGTTTAAAACTGTTCTTTGATTATTTCCTGGAAGTTCAAGGAAAACATTTCTCCGACTGTAGCTCTCCGAGGTGTTTAAAATAAGCAGCCAAACGAAAAAACATTTAATTACTTTACATCGTTTTTAGATATATCGTAATCGTTTTGTGCAAATACAAATTGGTAATTACAAGCTCTCCCGAGCAGAAGAAAGGCAACGAACCATAACTTCACACTTCGCGAAGTTAAAATATAAGGCAACCCTCTGTTGAAAACATACGGCGAAAGTACGTGGGATATGAACAAAGAATTTATGCAAGGCTACCTATTGACAACGTAATCTTTTGCAATATCTTTAATATAAATTGATTCTTGTCGTCATTTTGCATATAAAAGTGTTAAAGAATGGTCGTTAGAAATAATTGGCCATAATTCATATTTTATGATAGGATAGTGCTTTATCCTAACAGGTAATCAAACGTACCATCATGAACGTTTAAACATTTTATTACTAGCTTCCTTGTATTTTCCGTTACATTCTTATAGCTATATAGTAGTTGTGCTAGCACAATTAGATTTAATTTCGACCTGTGTGTCGCCAATTGAAACAATAGGCTACAAATACACATTGTGTAAAAAAACACCTGAAAGAAAGAATTGACTGGATTAGATATAAAAGTATTCTATCCATTTTTATTTCACGGATACACTGAACACAACTTTTTTGTTATTGTAGAATCTCGTCTCACAGCCATCAGTATTACGTAAAATATGAAATTTAAGAACTATCAGAAGTTTAATTTTTAACCTGTCACTCGTTTCGAATGCAGAAACTTGCCCCATATTTTACAAAAGTGCACCTTTCAAAAAGTTTGGATGCCACTGTTTTATACCGAGTCTCAAGAAGGTTAAGAACCACTGGCGTACACGAGGATTCAAATATTTAGTTTCATCATCGACCATTATCGGGTTTATTTTAAGAATCTCATAATTACACACTTTGGCCCACGTTTCGGGGATTTTGTTCCGCGGAACGTGGCATGGTCGAGAATTTTAGCGACATTTTTGTCTAAATAATATTCTCCCTATGTTGTCTTTGTTCAATAGATTCTTCTTAATTCTTTTTTTTAAATTAATTGCCTTAAAGATTTTCTTTGACAAATTATTGACTTGCATTAAACGTAAATGTCTTATAGCCATGTTGGGAAGAATATATAATTTAAAATAACTGAGCATAGTCATGGTTCAAAGGAATTTTCAAAAGTAGGCGGTCTAAATTATTTATTTTAAGACAGTATTCCCACTTGGGGACGTCGATGTTTAAAGTAGAAAATCATTATATAATTATAAAGCAAGGATTTCTAAACTTTTCTCATGTAACACAGTATAACCTTCATGCAATGATGTTCTTCAAATTTTTCACATATTTTAAATAGATGTTTTTTTATCGTGTGAACCAAAATTATATGAATATCTGGAATGAAATTGTAGAGCGAAAAATGTATCGAAAGTGTGAAACTGTTTGGGACTCGTAGGATATTTCTTATTAATTGCAAGAAATTTCGACAATATTCTTTATTTCATTGACATGTTCTCGATATTTGTTTATAATTATAATTCAATGATATATCTATTATTTTACAACACTTCTTCAATTGTAAGCGAACTGTGCCGATCACCGATGATACATTATGAAAAGAAACTTTCAATCGATGATTTTATAGACTTTACATGAAAACAAATGTTTAAAAACCATAACGCAAACACTGTAAACAGCATGGGTATCCCGAACGAAAGAAATTTTAAATCGCATGTAATTCCGATTACGATTTCTATAAAATTATTTTCAAATCCTGGAGATCGGTGTCTAGAAAAACAGACCAGACACCGAAAGCGTTCGTATCCGGAGCATCGGTGGAGCGCGGTCGATCGAGCGTCAGGAACGATCAAAGTCGAATCGAAATCGAAGAGTTCGCGTTGATGGCGGTCGTGTTGCGAACGCTCGAACCGAGCCGGTCAGTGTAAACTCGGCTTCGTTCGGAGCAGCCGAGCGAGCACGTCACGGCGGCCCACGAGGCTCATGGCAGAAAAGGAGAAACCGAGCGATTGGTGACGTGGTGGCGAGGGGGAAGGTGGCGGGGGCGAGCGTGGCGGGAAGACGGCGGTGGCGGTGGTGGCGGGTGGTGGGTGGCGGATCGCTGGCGGTGCGGTGGCGCGGGACCGGAGGGGGGATACGAAACGCGTAAACAGAGAGTCAACATGTAAACAGGCCACTCGCGAGACAAACAACGTGGGGGCCGCGGGCTGTTCACCGAACGAGGCAGCCAGGCTCTCGCCTGTTCGTTCGCACACGTTCTCTGCTGGCATTCGTGTGTGCTTCGTTTCCGTCCGTCGGTCCGTCTGTTCTCTCCGCGTTCCGTGTCGGATTCATCGGATCTCGTGCCGGCGTCGACGGTACCGGCGGTTCCGTGCACCGAAACACCCGGACGCATCGATCGTCGTTCGCGTTCATGCGAGACGATTAACCGATCGCGTCGGATCGATATTCGAAATCGTTCCACCGGCGTTCCGCGCGACGCGCGTTCAAGGTCCGGCGCAGCAGGATTTCGACGACCCCGCGGGCAAGCGCGCGCGCGCGCACGCCACCGCTTTGTGACACGTGTGATTTTTCTACCTGAAACCGTGACGGGGAACAGGAGAATGTGACCCAACGTGTGACAGGCAAACGAAAAACGAGGTTTATTATCGATGTTGCCGAATAACCTGCTCCGAGTCGGTGCGAGCATACGCGAGTCCTTCGCGCGACCTCGGCTCGGTTAAGTGTCGCGTTTTAGTGGAAAATGCGAACGATCGGTGCCACGTTACGGTTTGTTTACCAGCGTCGCGTTACCGTGTAATCGTCGTTCGCAGTTCAGTGAGGATAAGTGCCCGTCGGTGTTTTCGGAGTGACACCTACCATACCCGGGGTACGCTTAACCGCTGCGTTTTCCCTCGATACGCAAGTTAAACTTGCTTGGAGCGCGACCGTGTTGCCGGGAAATCGATTAGTGTGCCTCGCACGTGAAAATCGGCCACCGACTGACTGAGAGAACATTCCTCCGCGGATCGTCAACAGGTGTACGCCTTAATGATACACCGATGAGACCGTTGGAAATTGCTGTTAACATCCGTGTACACTGAAGAGGAGGTACTCTGCGGTCTCGCGTGAATCATTAGTTTCTAACCGAGCTCCGGTACCACGTGAGTAAGCAATCGTTATCGTGCGTTTTATTGAGATTTATGCGACGCGTTGCCGTGTGCTGGATGCGTCTAATTGTTCGACGAGATCGACCGTGTGTGCACGCTCGCTTTAGGAGAATAACTGTTCATCCTGTTCGGGCCAAAGAAATGCTATGCGGAAATTGCCACCTTAATGGATTTTTAATGGGTTTAAGCATCAGACATAGGTTGCATCGAACGCGGGATCCAGTCGGTTTCTTCGTTCCGTCTGCTCGACGTTATTCAATAGCTACTCGTTCGCATTCCGTTCCGTTGTCGCGTTAAGTTTGGAACGCGGGTGCACGTGGGACGCGTGCGCAACCACGTGCACGTTGCACGACATCGAACGATAAATATCGATCGATCTTCGGCAACCGACGCTCACTGTCCGATTCGAAGTTATCGTAACGTTTCAATCGTACAGTTTCGTTGTTTAATCCATCCTAGTCTCGTTTGTGCCTGTGTGTATGTGTGTGTTTTTTTCAACTTTGATTGCCGCGTACGAAGCAATTAGCGGATCATGCTTGCGGATAAATTCGAAGAAAAAACACACGCTCTCCAACTTCAGTTTTGAGAAAACGATAACGGAAGTCGCGGAACAGTTCGATGCCTCGTCGAGGAACGAAGTTGCTCGAGCAAGTGATACTCCAATTATGCATTTTGAGCAGCGAGCAAACAGTATCCGATTTTATCTCGCCGGTTTAATGTTGCTCGAGGACATCGATGAAAATACTTAATTGGTTCCGTTCGTCGATTCGATCTTGTTGATCGAATCTGAACGATTTAACGGCTCGCGGCGGACAATTAATCGACCGAAATTCAGGCCGTAGTGTTCGAGCACAGAATGCTGGAACGACCTCGATCCGCGTGTCGTGAAAACCGTCGAAATCTGCCGTTTCGTATACCACGCCGGGGACAATAAAAAATAATTAAAATATGTAATCACGTGTTTCTAAATATACGCGCATCGACCAGTGTGCGTCTTCGATAAGAATGCGAACGGGGCACCAAGATAATTACTCAACCAACCGGAAGTTCAGTTTCTCGAAGCCAGTTTCCATTACATGTTTCGAGTTTTAATCGTTTTGCGAAGATAAGCGACGGGAGTCTTACTTCGCGAAGTTCTATCGTGGTCGTTCGATGCGCGTTTCTACGCGTGTTCCTTGGCTTGTTTGTTTCCCATACTTTGGTCGTCTTAAAACGCCAGATATTATTCCGATCATGCTCGTGGAAAATTTCTTTTCCCGTGCACACGACGAGCCGCTCTTGGCCACTCCGTTCTCTCGCGTTTCTGCGTATTCGAGGCTGATTACGCTTTTCTACTCGGACTTGCAGCGTCTTCCGTCGGTCGGCCGGGTCTTTAGACCTCCGTGTGGAATAAGAAACATTAAAAAGTGTTTGAGGGCAAAAGCGAGTAAACAGTTGGTTATTTATAGCCGAGCTGTGCGCCGGGTTGCAAGGTGGAGCGAATAACGGGGAAAACCGTCAAGTTTCGTCGAGTCCGCGTGGTCGTTACTGTGGGAACCTTCATTATCAGTATTAATGACTGTAGCTCACTTTTTTTTCAATAGACGATTAAAAACAATTTTTAGACGTTATTTTCGTTATAGTTTAATCGATTGCACTTTCGAGTGGCCAGCTTAACTCGGATTAGCAGAGTTATGGTTTCTTGGGCGATGGAACGAGTAATTTTCGAGAAAATAATTATCATGCAAAATAGCATCAGAATTTTGTAAAAACTTGAAACGAGACGCCAGTTGAACTCGAGGATGTCGTAACATTTTATAGAAATATGACTCCAAACTCTTCTTCAAATATTTCAGCTAAGGTTTCATTTAAAATTATTAATTTAACTAATTAAATTTGTAAATGCAATTCAAATGTTATATTTTTAACTAATATCTTTAAATTAAATTATACATTTAATTTCGAATTAAAAATTTGATTACCTAAAATAATAAAATTTGCGTAGCTTTTTCAATTACCGAGTTAAAGAAAAACTTGCTTTCGAAATGTTATTTCAGTTTGAACGACAAAATGGTGCGCCCTACAGAAATTAATTCCGCACGATTTCATGGTAAATTGAGACGATTAGAATTACTTTTAACCGTTATAGAGGAATCTTTGAATAGGAGGAAACACGTTGCACAAGGCCATATTATGTTCGGATAACAGAGCGTTTGAATAGTAGAGTGTTTCGATGAGGAGAAGGGAGGGGGACGTTGGCTATAGAAGGTTCTACTGTACTTCACTGCACCGAACTTCTTAAATAGCTGTTTACGTTGAACGCCGCTTGAACGTTGCCGTGATAATTAATATCGGTCGCAAGCTAGTTTCTATTCCAGTTTCTGTCGCAATCGTTTCCATCCTCGAGCTGATTTTTTCTCTTCTTTCAACGGGGGACTCGGACACTCGAGACGTTAAAAAATTATTCAGTGAAATGCTCGTTTCTATCGCGTTTGCGGTCGCAACGTATAAATAGCGTCTCTGAGAAAGGACGAACAATCGTATCGAGAAAGAGACGCGCCGACGCGTTTGATTGCTTTATAATAGCCGAACAACGATAACGAGAAAATGGGGGGAAAAAGAAGAGCGTTTTCTAAGAGGAAAAATATTGGTGTTGTTGCTAAGGCCGCTTAATGAGTTTACGTCCAACGACAGGAGTTTACGACACCGTCGATGTATCACTTTTGCTCGCCACTGTTTGCGAAATAAACGGCACCGTGTTGCGCGTTATTTCTGTTCCCGACAATTTCGGTGCAAGGTGTCGCGCGAAAAGAAAAGGAAGAGGAAAGAAAACGCGAGGGGAGGCGGAGGGGATGGACGTGGAAGACACAAAAGCAATTGCAACAGTAACGGCGTAAACAGCGTCGAGCAAACAACTGATACAGGCGAAATAAAGCGTCGTTCGTTTTAAAGATTTCATTGAATCGGCCACGATAATGGACACCGACGCGCACACAAACGGCTAACGACTCATACCGCCACGGTTCTCGTATTATCAAAAGAAACTATTGTCGGCTGTTGTTAACAATGCGTTGTTATTAAACCGTGTGTCTCCGTGACAGCAAAGACACTGTGCTCGACGATACGAGCCAGGCAGAAAATCGCAGAGGCGGACTTTTGTTCTCTCGCCGGGGCAAGGTTTTTCGCACCTTGCTTCAATCCACCCGACCTTGGAACCAAATCCTCCGACACGCGACGCCATATCGCTCCAACATTTCGATTCTCGACGATGACCCGATCGTTCTACTTACAAAAAATTTTTGTTACCCGGATACTTCCAAACAATTCTGAGAAAATTGTAGGAAACATTCATCTTACCAAAATGTTTATTTTCGAAATTACTTAACCTGTAAGACTTACTGCTCCTGAATAAATGGCTAGTAAACACTAATTAATTTTTGAGTTTGCAATATCTTACGTTAGGTATAATTACTAATTAGAAAACGAGTTTTCGCCCCTTCTACGTTCGTAATAGATTCATCTTAAAAAATAACAAGAGTAAAATATGATACATTCCATTCGACACTAAACATGCAGTTTTATTAATCCAGCAAATCTGTTTTCTAGTAGTTACGACCAATTACATGGAACCACTCAGTCTAGGTTGACGGAAAAGCTATCCGACAAACAAATCATCTGATATAAAAGAAACGAGGAAATTTTATAATCTACATTGCAATTAACTTTTCGCGTAATGGTCGAAAGAACATGAAAGTATAGTCTAAAAGATTGAACTTTCAATTAGTACAAATAAATCTCCCGTCAGCTCGGCGGCTCCAACATGTTCGATCATAACTATCCCAGGAACTATAATTTCGTAATAAAATTTAGTAAGCTCTAGGCTCGATATACGCTATTAGGTACTGGATGAATGTTTCGTGAAATTACACGCGCCCATGTTCGAAACAGAAATTCCGAAAACCTGATTTTTCAGCCGGTCAGTTGTAACCATTTGATCATTACGCTCGTTAAAGTTTATCGGTTGATTTTGCTGGCGGTGTAAAAAAAACCGGGGGATCGTTTGAATTTCTTGCTCCTCCAGTTCGGGAGGATGTAAACAATTCTATGAGTTGAAAACGATACATCTCGTTCGCGTATGGTCATTATCGCTTTTCTATAAATAAAATCGTGTTCCTCGATAAAGCCGGCTAGTGCGCGAGGCGGAGTCGTTTAAAACGCGAGATTTACAGAGTTCTGTTATATAAATAACCACAATCACGGTCTGTGACGTCGACCCGCGCGTAGTTTCGCGCGCGCATTTGATCGTTTCCTTTCTCTTTTGTTTTCAATGAAGACTAATCGGTCGTTCCTGCGCCGCACCGACACTTCGAAATAAATGCGGCCGTTCGAAAAACGGAGAACGGGGGAACAAATGAATTTTTCGACCTTTTAATTTGCGAGTTCGAAGACACATTTTCCGCCCGAGTTCCAAGTTTTGCCACGCTCCTTCGTTGCTGTAAGTTTCGTCCCCCCCCCCGTTCATCCTTTTATCAAGAATTACGAAGATTGTCAAAAACGTGACCTGTTCTGCTAATGGAAAGGAAACGTTTCTCAACGTAGCTCTGTGAAATCAAATTTACAATCCATAAATAAGATAATCGATGAAATATATGCAGTACAGTTCTGGGGAAAAAGTCTCTGTAAAATTGTTTATAATCAAATAGTCGATTCTGATTTTATCGATGGCATGTCAAATGATTGTTGATGTCTTGCATATTTGGTCCTCGTAATTACGTATACCCATTTGTAGCAGAAAGTTTAATAAAAAATTAATTTTCTTTCAATTCTGTTTAATGTATACGTTGCATAACCTAGACACTTCTAATTGTGTAAGTTTCAATTTATTATATATATATCTGCTATTTTAACAAGTTTTTGTTGAAACTGTTGAGACATCGAAATAAAGGTTGGAAGAAAGAAAAGCCAATACAGTTAACGTTCCTTGAATTGCTACCATTTTATCTTATTAATCACTTTTCT